ATATATATATATATATTATTTAGAACTTTACAATCCTTGGCTAATCCTGTCAACTGGATGGACCTGAGACAAGCAGCACACTTGTGAGGGGGACCAGCGGCCATGGGCGGGGCTCGAGGGCCAGAGCGGCCACGCCCATCCTCTGGCCCCTCCCCTGCTTCACTGGCTCCGCCCTCTTCTCTGCCTTCCAGCTGCGAGGTGAGCAGTGAGCAGCGTCCTCCTGTCCTCCGTCAGCCCTTTTGCCAGGATGCTGCGGCCCTGCAGCCAACGACCAGCCGGAAACCGCGAGCAAGTAAATTCTTAAGTGGCGTGTGTCAGGCGTTTTGTCCCAGCAGTGAAGAGCTGATACGACTGTGAATCCACAGAATTGGTTTATAGTTCAAAAAGAACTAAAACAGGTGTTCAGTTTGGATAACACCTCCTCACTCTGGTGCATCACATATGAGGCCAATTTGCTATGTCTCTGATTCTTTGGTTTCTAAAATCCAGATCCTGCTTTTGGAGAGTTTGACAGCTCACTCTCACTGCCCACCCCAGGCAGGTGTGAGGCTACAGTTCTTACCATTGGAAAGATTTCATTTGGGACCTGTCCTGTAACATTTGCTTATGGTACTAAGTTTCTTTCTCTTTTTTTGAGACAAGGTCTCACTGTGTAGCCCAAGCTGGCCTTGACTTTCAGCGATCCTCCTGCCTCAGCCTCCCAAGTGCTGGGATGACAGGCGTGCACCACTATGCCTGGTTTGTTAATTAATGAATCCATTAATTTAGACAGCACCAGTTGAACTCTGCTTTCAATACACTCTAACCTCCACATCTAGAAGGATTCTTTTTTAGAAGCACAGCGCCTTGGGTTTTTCCTAGAGTTTCCACACTCACAGCTCCAGGTCACAACCAAGCCATTTCTTTCAGTTCCTTTGATACTCGGAAAAGCGGAGAAATCCATTCTGGTCCAGGTCCCAGCGTGTTTCCTAAGTTTCAAGATTAAAGAGTTTCTGGAGCTACAGAAATCCCAGTCTTCACAGGTCCCATCTCAGCACAATCCTTGGGCACTCGGCCTGCTTTGGGGATTCACCGCACCCTGCCTCTTCCCTGCTGTTGCCCACAAAACTCATTGCTTGTTGGTTTGACCCTACAGCTCTGAAACGCTTATTTACACTCTGCCAGTCCTCAAGAGGACTCAAGCAGTGCAGGCCCAAGGCATCTGTCTCTTCTGCGGGTGAAGGTGGTCCCTAACTCACCATCTTGGGAGGTCCTCCTCCTCCTCCACCCAGAGTCTCTGGTGTTCATTCCTGGCTGTCAGCGTGCAGTGAAAGCATCAACTCCACTACAGTTCAAGTCCTGGTTCCAGAACTGCACATGCTCAAATGCATGTGCTCTGTGGGGAGAAACTTCCTTCACACCGGATATGATTTACACCCGAGAAAAACAAAGAGAATGTATTTCATTAATATTTCAGCAATCAAAGAAAACAAACCTATAATCCCAGCAATTGGGAGGCTGAGGCAGGAGGATCCTCATGAGTAGAGTTCAAGGCCACAAAACTCATTCTGGACCACATAGTGAGACCCTATCTCAAAAAACAAAGCTAGAAAGTCATTCAGTAGCTCACAGCGACTGTTACGAGCATCCACCCCAGAGCTCGCCTCGCATGTGTGAAGCCGGGGTTCAAGTGCCAGCTCCATGCCCCCCCAATCAGTAGCGTCATCCACAAGAACAATCCAAAGTGTCTTCATGTGCCGCAATGCTGCAATGTTTTGTGCTCCGTTTCCTAATGTTATTAGTTTTTATTCACACATATATTGACAAAGAGTTGAGTAAAAAATTACAACGGGGCTACTGACATGGTTTATTTAATAACAGCGTAAAACTAGGCCCCAAAGAACCAGCAACTCAAATAAGCACGGACACACCACTGGTCTGTTTCTACTCTATCAAGCTGTTGTCTCCAGGTCCCAAGAACCAACCTGAGAACACTTTAACCTCTGGAGCAGCTGCCCAAGCAGTCCCTCCCTGTCCTTCCTCCTTTTCACTGCAATCGCTGCAACCAGTCGGCGAGGAACGACTGCGCCACCTGGTGGCCAGTGTAGGGAGCAGTGTGACTAAACATCTTGTCTTGTGTCCTCCATCTCGTTACGGATTGAACGCTTGTTATCTGAAAATCCAAAATCCAAAATATTGTCTTCGGGAGCATTCTGAAACTTATTGGGTGTTGTCATGACCCTCAAGGAGTTTCATTTTGCATTCGTGATTTTTGGACTAGGGCTGCTCAGCCAGAAAAGTTCATGCGAATATTCCAAACTCCAAAAACCTTGGAAACTCGAAATACTAAACTTCCTCCGGTCAAGTGCTCCTGATGAGGAATACTCTACCTGTGTCTGACTTGTGTAGTACCTCCAACCTCGTGCTTCATACCCAGCACTCTGGAGGCTGAGACAGGAGGATCCCGAGTTGGACTGCAGCCTGGGCAGCTTAGTGAGACCCTGTCTCAAAATAAAAAATGGACCGGGGATGCGGCTCAGTGCAAAGAGCCTGGGTTCAACCCCCAGTGCCACTCCCCAAAAGTATGAACTTTCTATAGATTTTTATGTGCCTGTTAACATTAACAAAATCTACTGGTAAAAGTGGGACCACACCATATCTGACTATATCATCCTATTTTGTGTTCTATGAAACAGAAGTTGTTGGTCTAAACAAATTAAGACTGAAAAACAGGCCATGAAAAAGTTAATTTCTTCTTTAGTCTTTCACCAACTTCACTCCTCTACAAATTGGGTATAATTCTGATCTTCTAAACTAGTTAACGCTTTCTTGGGACTTTGCCCTGGAAGCTGACAGTCTATTAAAAAAAAAAAAAAAAAAAAGCTGATTACTGTGTGGTACAGAAATACAACGGAACATTATCCAGCCACAATGAACAAGACTTTGTCATCTACAGGAAAACAGATGAACATGGAGATCATGCTGGGTGAAACAGGCCTGATTCAGAAAGATAAGTACTGCCGATTCCCCTACATGTGGAATCTTTAAAAAATGCCAGAAAGTAGGAGGCAGGCTGTTGGACAAGAAGGGACTATGGTTGGGGGAGGAGGCTGGCAGGATGGGGAACAGGGGGAATGGCTATGATCACCCCAAGTGTGAAACCGGGAAGAGGATGGGACAGGGGTGAAAATGAGCCAAGTGTGCAATGTGCAGGAACAAATCTGCGAAAATGGAACCCATAATCGGCACAATCAGTGTGCACCAATGAAAAGATCTGAAACAAACAGACAAACAAAATAGCTGATTAACTGAACTATATGCCAAGTCAGAGTATTAGGTTTAGTTTTATAACATCTCCTAACCTTTTAAACTTAAGATATATAGAAGCCTTTAAAATTAAATCACATCTTCTACATACAAAGCACCCTGAAAACCCACTGAATGTACAGGCAAGTTCAGAATGCAGTACTTCTCCATCTGAGACCCATGACCAAATCTAGGATGACATCTCCTTAAAGAGACAGGCAGCAGCCCTTGCTAGAAGGAAAAAGGACAGGACCACTTCCAGTGGTCAAATACAGAGGCTTTCATCCCACACAGGACAGGACTCTGCTGTGACTGGATGGCCATGGCAGGAAGTGGGGGCACATGAAGGGAGAGAGGACAGAGGGGCAAGGGGCAACACTCAGATCCCTTCTGAGCAGCGGGGAGGTAGTGAATGCTGCCCTGAAGCTCGTTCCAGTTTAAAATGCTGGGCTTAGGGACCTCCAGGACCTGTACTGTCATGACGGTGTCTGGATGTCCCTCAAAGCCTCATGTGGGCTTGGTGGGGCTTTTCAGAGGTGGCTGCATCTGGGGTGTGTGATTACTAAATCAGTCCACTGATTGGTCTGGCATAGTCCTGGGTGTGAGTGCCACTTGCTCTAAGGGTTGGTAGCCTAGACACACTATAGAGGGACAGAAAGAAACTGCTATTGTCACTTGCTGCTTGCTGCTTTCTGTCTGCCCGGCTCTGCCATGAACTGTTTCTCCTCTGTGATGCCCCTCTTCCATGCTAACCTGCCTGGGGGCCAGCTGACTAGGGATTGAAAGCTCTACAAACTGTGTGCCAGATAAACCTCTCCTCCTTTAACTTTGGGTGTCACATATCTATTTCAGCAGTGAGAAAAGTAAGACATGGACATCACGGTGCAGGCCTGGGCTGAGACATGGAGGTG